AAATAGAAATCGATATGCATTGATAACACAATTAAGGTCACTGCTCATTTTATTTGCATTTCAAATGAAATCTAATCACAAGACCGAGCTTAAGAGCTAGTTTTATTCGCTTTGAAATAAATCTATCTACTGACTGAACTTAAGAGCTCGTCTTATTTGCGTAGAAATAAATCTATCTACTGACTGAGCTTGAGAGCTTGTGTTATTATCTCGAAAGTCAGACTTCAGGCCTAACTATAGTAGACCTTCAGCTTGTCCGCGTTCCATGTTCTCTTTACTGGCTTCTTGGATATAGTTTCCAAGGAGTAGGCTCAATTTCCCAAGTTTTCTTTGACTTTGTAGGGGCCTTCCCAGTTCGCGGCGAGTTTTCCATCTTTGGCATTCTTGTTGCCAATGTCAGCTCTTCTTAGCACCAAGTCGCCACTCTGAAATGACCGAGGTCTGACCTTCTTATTAAATCTAGCAGTTACTAGGCGCTTCGCCATCATATTCTTATATCTGGCGTTCTCCCTGCATTCATCCAGTAGGTCGAGTTCTACAGTGAGTGCCTCTCTGTTTTGACTTTCATTTCCTCGTAATCTTTGTATCCTCCTCCAATATGGTTCATCGATTTCCACCGGAATCATGGCCTCGCACCCATATGTCAGCTTGAAGGGGGTTTCTTCTGTGGCAGATTGGGTGCTTGTTCTATAACCCCACAAGACGAGGTGTAGTTGTTGCACCCAATTTCCTTTGGCTGCGATCAACCTTTTCTTGAGCCCGTTTATAATCACCTTGTTGGCAGACTCGGCTTGTCCGTTGGTCTGAGGATGTTCTACTGATGCAAACCGATGTTTAATCTTGAAGTCGGCCGTTAACTCTTGGAACTTTCTATCAGCGAACTGTGTCTCGTTGTCCATGATGATCTCGGAGGGAAGTTCGAATCGGCTAATCAGGTTTCTTTCGAAGAACCTCTGTATTCTCGCCGAGGTAATGGTGGTGAAAGGTTCAGCCTCAATCCATTTGGTGAAGTACTCAACTGCCATTATCAACCATTTGAGCTGTCCTTCAGCCGCGGTGAAGGGTCCCAACAAGTCCATCCCCCATTTGAAGAATGGTCATAGAGCCGTAATGGTTTGTAGCTCTTCAGAAGGAGCACGAAGGATGAGCGCATGCTTCTGACATTGCTCGCACCTTCTGACGTGTTCCTTCGCGTCCGCCTCCATCGTAGGCCAGTAGTTTCCTGCCCTTAGTGCCTTTCTGGCTAGAGCTTTTCCTCCCATGTGATGTCCATTTATGCCCTCATGGATCTCGGCCAACACATACTCAGCTTCGTTCTTATTTAGGCATTTCAGCATGGGTGTGTAGAAACCCTTTTTGTAGAGTTGCCCTTCTACTATGGTAAAACAGGCCAAGTTCCTCACGAGTTTTCTGGCCTCTAGTGTTTCGTCTGACAGGACTCCTTTTTCCAGGTAGGCCACTATTGGCATTCTCCAATCCTCAGTCTCGGTTATCACCATGACGCAGGTCGGCTCCAGGATGCTCTGCTGTATTACAGTGCGATGGTTTCCTGAGCCTTTCGAGCTGGCGAGTTTTGATAGGATGTCTGCCCTGCCATTTTCGTTTCGAGGTATGTACTGGATTACCACCTCGGCTAATAGCTCCTTAACCTATTGGAGATACTTCATCATGAGAGGACCCTTAGCTTGATATTTTCCCTCAACTTGTGACGTAACCAGCTGTGAGTCACTCAGGATCTTTATCCTCCTGGCTCCGTGCTCTTTGGCTTGTATGATCCCGGCGATGAACGCCTCGTATTCAGCTTGGTTATTTGAGGTCAGAAACGCTAGGTGAAGTGAGTGTTCAATGGACACTCCCTCTGGGCTTTCAACTAACACCCCGGCTTCGCTCCCCTTAGAGTTCGAGGATCCGTCGACATATATTGTCCAGAGATCTTCATTCCCTTGTCTCTTCTCTTTGGATGGGATTAGCTCCAGGATGAAGTCAGTCAACGCCTGCGACTTGATTGCCTGTCGATGTTCATACGATATGTCGACCTCGGAGAGCTCGACGGCCCAGTTTATCATCCTTCCTGCTAGGTCCGGCTTGTGTAGTACTTGCCTGATGGGCTGGTTTGTTCGCACAATGACTCGGTGACCTTGGAATTAAGGTCGGAGCCTCCTTGCTGTGGTAAGCAGGGCAAATGCAACCTTTTCGAGCCTCTGGTAACGAAGTTCTGGTCCTTGCAATGTCCGACCTACAAAGTAGATCGGCTGTTGTGATTTGTCGGTCTCCCGTACCAGAGCGGCACTGATGGCCTTTTCCCCCCACAGACAAGTATAAGATCAACGTTTCTCCGGGTTCTGATTTCGACAGTACAGGAGGTGTGGCTAAGCAATTCTTTATATTTTCGAATGCTTTTTTGCATTCTTCACCCCATACGAACTCTACTTCTTTTTTAAGGAGCTTAAAGAAAAGCAAGGCTTTTTCTGCCGACTTAGGCAAAAACCTAATTAGGGCCGCAAGGCGACCTGTGAGCTGTTGGATTTCTTTCTTGGTTTCCGGCTGCTTCATCTCGAGGACGGCCTTGCATTTGTCGGGGTTGACTTCTATTCCTCGGTTGGTGAGCATGAAGCCCAGGAATTTTCCAACTGGCACCCCAAAAGCGCATTTGGCCATGTTCAATATGATCTTTCGAGCTCTTAGTTGCTCAAAAGTCTCCTTGAGGTTGGCGATATGCGCTAATATGCGCATTGATTTGACGATCATGTCGTCGATGTATACCTCTAGATTTCTTCCAATTTGCGCTTGAAAAACGCAGTTCATCATCCTTTGATAGGTCGCCCCTGTATTTTTAAGACCAAAAGGCATGACGTTGTAGCAAAAGTTTCCTTTTTCTGACATGAAGGCGATTTTTTCGTGGTCATCTGGGTGTAATGGGATTTGATTGTACCCAGTGTACGCATCCATGAACGATAGTAGCTGAAATCCTGATGAATTATCAACTAGTTGGTCAATGCTTGGCATCGGGTACGAGTCATTTGGGCAGACATTATTGAGGTCGGTGTAGTCCACGCAGATCCTCCACTTCCCACTTGGTTTCTTCACCATCACTACGTTAGACAACCAAGTGTTGTACTGTATCTCCTTGATGAATCTGGCTTCTAACAGCTCGTCGACGTGTTCGCTTAAAGCTTGACGTCGGTCAGATCCTATCTTTCTCTTCTTTTGGGACACTGGCTGCGATCCTGGGTACATGGAGAGCTTGTGGCAACAGAAAGTTGGGTTTACTCCTAGGATCTCTGAGGCCTTCCATGAAAATACGTCGGAGTTTTCCTTTAAGAGGGAAACCAGCTCCTTTTTAAAATTTTCCTCTAGGCTTATTCCCACCTTGGTGTGACCTTTATCGTCCCTCCCAATATTGAAGTCTTCCAATTCTCCCTGGGGTTCTGGATGAGGTGCCTGGAGCTCCTCCCTCATGTCGAGTTCGATCAAGTTTACCTCGCTTCCACATGCCTTTAGCGATTGGTTCTTAGCTCCTCCAGTTTTAAGCCGATGGGGAGATGATTGACCTCCTTGATGGACCCGCAGGATCTCATAGTAGCACTCCCTAGATTCTTTCTGATCTCCTCTTATGGTGATAATCTCGTTATTCGCCCCTGGTATTTTTAGTGTTTGATGCTTGGCAGAGAGCAGCATATCCCAATCATGGATTGTAGGCCTGCCAATGATCACGTTGTAGGAAGATGAGGTGTCTACAACGACGAAACGAACCCTTCCAGCTCGGAATGCATCCTTCGTGCCTAAGGTCAGCTTCAAATCAACGTAACCTTTTGGAGGGGACGTCGCTCCGTTGAACCCGACCAGCTCGGTGACGCATGGTTTCAAGTCCTTCTCGTCCAGGTTCATCCTCTGGAAAGCATCCCACGGAGGTTGGTGGAACAAACAGAGGAACAATCTGAGGACCAGAAGCTTACCTGTACCTGTATGCCCCTCTGACTCGAATTCGGTATCACAAGGGTCCACACCACAAATAGAATCCAATGCACTCATAAATCTTGGTTCCTTTTTAGAACAGAAAAATGAAAGCTTTAGAGGTTGAGAAAGCACACAAATCCTTCAACAATGGATTTTTCTTCAATAAGACTAGAGCTTTAATGGTTAGGTGATGTTTTAATGAAGGAGAGAAGTAGAAAAATGAACACTTTGGAGACTTTCCAAGAGAGAAAGCTAAGTCTCCAAGAAAACCCCCAAATGGCTGCCACAATCAGCGGCTGAGTCTTTTAAAAAAATCTTAGGTTTTGATCCCTTCTTCTATTTATATTGTCACTTAAGTTAAACTAGCAGTATTAGTTTAATTAGTTCCGTTCTTCGTTTAATTCTAAAATTTTAGATTCTTAACCTAGATATTTTTCTAGGAATTTTCATTTTTTTATTTTATTTTTTCGCAACACTTTTCTGATACACGTTTTCTCGCTGTCGGTATTAGTTCAAACACCAGTTCTCATTATTTTGACTTCAAACTTGACGTACTAGTCCTAGATATTATTTTAGTAATATATACGTACTTTTTATTATTTTCTGGGATACTTCATCGTTACGCATTTATACCGAGAAGCAGAACCGGTATCTGCACTTTTCGTCAGAAAAGCGACTTTCAACATTATTAAACACTTACTATAATTATTCAAGCTCACTCATAATTATTCAAGGTCAATTATGAAATTTATCTCTTAGCTCGTAATTAAATTAATTAAATTCCTAATTTAACGGTGCAGGTTCTTACATTCACCCCACCTTTTAACAATTTTGTCAGCAAAATTAGAGACATACTGTAACACCCCGTGTATACCCGATTTGTTAACATGTCATCGTATTAAGCGTTGCTTAATTAAATGATGAATAACTTTTTCTTTTCAATTATGACGTCATTATCGTTTACCAAGTTGATTACTTAATCATTTCAAAACAACGCCTGTATGTAAATTGCAATCAAACAACTAACTAAAATACCTCATATATTAAGTAACTGTCTCTAGTCCCGGAACTACATCACGTAGACCAGACGATCCTGATAGTTTATACAACTCAAAACTACAAGCACGACTAACATCAATGTGGCATGGACAATCCCAATGCTCACCAAATATGGCAACAAAGCCCAACAGAGTCTCAAATCCAATAACATGATAATAAATGTAAAACATGTCAGCATCCAAGCATATCATCATAAAAGCATAAATCTCAACTCAGCTCCGGCCTCCTGCCGCCCGAAGTATTAACCCCCTAGGTACCTGATCCTGAAAATTGTGCCCCAAACGTGGAGTGAGATCTCTAAAAAGAAATCTCAGTAAGACAAAAGGTCCTCAAGGACTCTTCCGCCCCAAGCTCACTTACAGGCATAATATAAGTTCAAAACAGTAATCTCAATGCATGTTCATGTTAAGCATATATTTCATGACATTATAATCTCTTGCTCAACCAGCTAACATTTAACTCAGTAATCATGTGATGTATGCAAATGCGATTCGACTGGCCAGGGAACAAGATAGAGATTATGCACGTCTGCGACCCATCTAAACATAAGAGTCGCAGTCTTATGCCTTACACACCAGAGTCGCTGTCTGATTGTGTAAGTAAACAACATCACTTCCATACACTACATGCCTTACACACCAGAGTCGCAGTCTGATTGTGTAAGTAATCAACAGACATATTCACATATCTCAGGCATATATCAATGCATATAACATTTTCATAAAAGCATACCATGCATATAAACCATCCTCCCATGGAGGTCGGTGGAACAAACAACAGATCAATCCGAGGACACGAAAGCTTACCTGTACCCATATGCCCATATGACTCGAACTCGGTATCATCACAAGGGTCCACACCACAAATAGAATCTAATGCACTCACAAATCTGGTTTAACGACTATCATAGTATCAATATACATATTCTAAAATTCCAAGACAATCATATATTATTTTCTTTTTCATTTCGAACCTGGAGATCCTTTCTAAGATATACCATTTAACTTATTTAATTTTAGATAATTATTATCTTATAAATATATACAATATAATGTCTCCCTGGATTTATACGACCAGAATTTTATTTGTTTTGTAAGCACACTTTTCAAATGTAATTGTCTCCCTGATACTAACGTTGATGTATATATATATAAAAGTATAGGTAACGAAACGAAAGCATATACTTAAACGAAAACATACTTTTCGTCTTTTCGAAAGCATACTTTTCTAAGCATACTTTCCTAACGGCTCCCTGAGTTCACATATATATATACATTCTTTTATAAAATTTTGTACATCTTCGTTGGACATAAACATGTATATAAATATAATATATATATATATATATATCCTGGGTAACAAAACCAATAAAACCACGCAAGTATATATAAGTATAACTTGATATCCTGGGTAATAAAACCAATAAACCACGCAAACCAATAAAATCAAATGGCCATATAAAGTGACAAAACAAAAGGCTTTGTACAGAAGAAAAGGTAGCGTACAGTGTCCGAATAGTTTTTTAAGTTAACAAGGGTTCTGAATCATATATAACAACGATTATAACCAAAATTATAGATTTATAAAGGGATAGTTAACTTTACCTTGATTCCTTTTTAGAACAGAAAAATGGAAGCTTTAGAGATTGAGAATGAACCCAAATCCTTCAACAATGAGTTCTCCTTCAACAAGACTAGAGCTTTAATGGATGGGTGATGTTTCAATAGAGAAGAAGAGGAAAAAGATGGAAACTTTGGAGACTTTCCAAGGGAGAAGACTAAGACTCCAAGAAAACCCCCCAAATGGCTGCCACACTCGGCTGCTGCTTAGTCTTTTAAAAAAAAACTTAGGGTTTTGATCCCCTTTTCTATTTATATTGTCACTTAAGTTAAACTAGCAGTATTAGTTTAATTAGTTCTGCTCTTCGTTTAGCTCCAAAATTTTAGATTCTTAACCTAGATATTTTTCTAGGAATTTTCATATTTTTATTTTATTTTTTCGCAACACTTTTCCGATAAACGTTTTTCTCGCTGTCAGTATTAGTTCCGACACCAGTTCTTATTATTTTAACTCAAACCTTGACATACTAGCCCTAAATATTAATCTAAGAATATTCATGCATTTCTTATAATTTTTCGGGATACTTCACCGGTACGCACTTATACCGCGAAGCAGAACCGGTATCTGCACTTTTCGTCAGAAAAGTGACTTTCAACATTATTAATCACTTACCATAATTATTTAAGCCTTCACATAATTATTAGGGTCTATTATTGAATTATCTCATTAATCTTTTAATTAATTAATTCAATTCCTAATTTAACGGTGTGGGTTCTTACCTATACCTGTCCCTAAACTCGGGGTATTGCCGGAGAAGCTCGTCCTCCCACTCTCAAGTACACTCCTCTATAGTCCTTCCTTCCCATTGCACCTTGACCATGAGAATGACTTTGCTTCGTAGCTTCTTCTCGCCACGATCAAGAATCTTGAGTGGTCCGACGGGAGTCTTTAAGTTCTCCCGAACCTCCACTTCATCAGGTAGCGCCCGTGCGAAGTACCCGCTATATACCTTCGAAGCTGTGACACGTGAAACACGTTGTGGATGTTGGTCAAGTTCGGAGGCAAGGCAAACCGGTAGGCAACAGACCCTACCCTACCAATAATCTGGTATGGACCTATAAATCTAGCGCTAAGCTTCCTCACTCCGAGAGCTCGCCCAACACCTGTGACTGGAGATAATCTTACAAACACATGTTCACCTTCATTGAACTCTAATGGCCTATGCCTGGCATCGTAGTAGCTCTTATGCCGATCTTGAGCTTGCTTCAACTTTTCTCTGATCATTTTAACTTACTCCGTAGTATCCTTCACAAAATCAAGCCCGAACAGTTCTCGATCTCCAACCTCTGCCCAACAAGTAGGAGTCCGACATCTCGTACCATACAATGCCTCGTAAGGAGCCATGCCCAAGCTAGCATGAAAACTGTTGTTGTATGAGAACTCAATCAAGGGAAGATACTAATCCCAAGCTGAGCCTTGCTTTAGAGTACAAGCTCTCAACAAATCCTCCAGTGTCTGTATCGTCCGCTCAGTCTGGCCATCTATCTGAGGATGGTAGGCTGTACTTAGCCTCAACTGTGTCCCCAAGGAACTCTGAAATGCCTCCCAAAATTGAGACGTGAACTTCGGGTCCCTATCACTAATGATACTCACAGGCACCCCATAAAGCTTCACAATCTCTCTAACATACAAACTAGCCAGCCGCTTGGTGGTAAAACTCGTCTTCACCGAAAGGAAATGAGCAGATTTAGTTAATCTGTCCACAATGACCCATATAGAGTCATAACCAGCCTGAGTCCTTGGCAACCCCACAATGAAATCCATGGAAATGCTCTCCCACTTCCACTTATTATAATTATTTAAGCTCACTCATAATTATTCAAGGTCAATTATGGAATTTATCTCTTAGCATATAATTAAATTAATTAAATTCTTAATTTAACGGTGTTCTTACAGCCATATACTCCACCTGATATAAGAATCATCTCACCTGCATAAAGGACAACCAACTAATATACACATATTTCTCAATACAATATAATATCAATACATCCATAATAACAATGAAACATAAATTGTATAGTCATAAGACCTTATGTGTGGTCGCAAGACTGACTCCACGGGCTAGTGTACATGCAACTAGCTGACCTATAACTGAATTGAGCTCAATCATTGCAAGGCTTCATTTACAATGTCAATTATTGTACCCTTACTCTCCTGGGTATGGTACAAGTGGAGAAACACTGTAATCAAGTCATATAACATACATGTTCATCTATATATGCTTCTAGCATCAATTCCATGTCATAAAACACCTTTAGAGACTACAATAATTTTTCCAGAGCATAAGAAAAGAGAAATTTACACTCTGATTCCTAGATCTTACTATTACTCACATGCATGCATATAAACAGAGGTTGGGAAAATCAAATTGCTACTGAGCACACATCAATTCACCAAATCAACATTGGAAAATCGAAACTCATACACGCAAAGTACTTGAACGAATTTTAGATGGCAAGATAGAAAGAGGTTTCTTAGACTTACGTGTGGTTGGTTCATCTCAAGAGCTCCCTAAAAAATGTGACCAGCCAAAAAAGCACCTCTTCTTTTCATCCATTGATTCTTCTAAGTTTAGAAGATTGGCTCTGTCCAGCTCCCTTGAGTCCCGACCTCCAGTCACACTACAACCCAAGCTCCTAGCTTAGCTTCTTGTTCTCAAAACTGCTCCATTTTAACACATGCAATAGGTTCTGACTTTTGGAGTTTCAATCCTCTTCCTAGGTGTAAGATACAAGAGACTTCAGAAAGTGAGAGAGAAGAAAAAATGAAATAAACCTCTTTTGTATTACATTTTCAAAAACTCAATCGTATGTTACATTTGTGACACAGTGTTCTATTTATAGTCTTCACATTTACAACAGAAGTTAGTTAGAGTTTGTGGGCCTTGATCTATTGGGCTTTCATCCCCCCTCAGTGCAGGACACGAAGCTTGGATTTGAAGTCCACAAATTTGTCATGAGAGATTGCTTTGGTGAGACCATCAGTTATTTGGTCAACTGCTGGAATATGGTGCACTGTTATAAGCTTGTTTAACACATTCTCTCTTACAAAATGAAAATCTAGTTCGAAGTGCTTGGTTCGTGAGTGAAAAATAGGATTAGCTGTGAGCAACACAGCTGACAAGTTATCACAGTAGATGTTGGGTGGTCGAGGAATCATGATATGAAGCTCAGATAGAAGAGACTGAAGCCATGTGATCTTGCTTCATAGTGTGTTCTTTGGAGCTGACACAACATGTTTCATTATTCGAAGTAATCCCAACTGTGAGGGCTGAGTAATATGATGTTTTTCACATAGGAGCTTCTTCGAAGACATAGAGTCCATTTTTAAGCCTCCCTTGGAGATGAATCTCCTTGGTAGCCTGAAATTTTACAAAATAGTCATCAACATGAAATTCAGAAAAGACATTATGTTCTTTGACAAATTGAGAGACACTCAATAAATTTTTGGAGAGACCGAGTACATGCAAAAGGTTCGATAAGGTGAATGACAAAGGTGTAAAGGGTGAATGAATAACAGTGTGACCAATATTTTTGATTTTCAAATTAGATCCATTACCTACTTGAACAGATTCCTTACCATGATATGGTTTCTTGTTGAGAAGCTTGTTACCATCTGGTGTGAAGTGGTTAGTGGCTCCAGAATCAGGGCACCAAGTGTGATCCATCACTGAGAAAAAATCAAAGTCATTATCTTGCTTTGTGGGAGAGGTTTCAGCAACATGGGCTTGTGGTGCACCAGCATTAGCATGATTGTAGGGGTGGGGAAATTTTGGTTGAATCTATGGTGGCATTCCCAGCCTATATGACCATACTTGCCGCAGACTTGGCATTTAGGGCGAGAGTCTGGAAATCTACCTCCTCTACCTTGGAATCTTCCTCCTCTGTTGTAGTTTCTGCCTCTATAAAAGGTGTTGTAGCTTCCTCTATTGAAATTGTTATATCCTCCTCTATTTGGATTATTGTATCCTCCTCTATTATTGTAATTCCCTCTGTTGTTGTAGCCACTTCGATTGTTATATCCTCCTCTGGTAAGATGAAGTTGTGCCATGTTAGCCTCAAGGTTTCCTACCTCAGCTTTTTGTGTTTTTCCAATCTTTGTTCCTGAGCCATTAGCAAGGCTTCAATTTCTCCAACTGTATATGGATCTGTTCTAGACATGACAGATGTGACAAACGGATCATACTCCTCACCAAGTCAATCCATTATTGCATCAATGTTTTGCTCTACACTGACAGGAGCACCTGTTGCACTTAGTGCATCTACAATTTTCTTTATTTGAAGAAGGTATTTGGAGAAATTACTTTCTTTCTTTGCATGACTTAATTGAAGTTTCAGTTGTTTCACCTTTGCTCTAGTTTGAGAAGAGAAAAATTCATCAAGTTTATGCCAAACCTGATAGGAGCTTTCACAACCAACCATTCTCATATAGACTACCTCTGACATGGATCCAAGTAACCAAGAGAGTAGAAGCTGATCCTACTGTTCCCAGAGTGCCACATCACTACCTCCATTTTCTATAAACTTTGGTGTATCTTGAGTGATGAATTTCACGAGATTGTAACCTTTGATAGTAGCCATAGCTTGCTGCTTCCATGGCAGAAAATTATCTTCATTCAACTTGAAGGAAACTGGACTGGAAAAAGTGTGAACCGAATTTGTGATTGAGCACAGTGAAGTAGTTGTTGCAGTGACATTCGAGCTTTGTATCTTTGGATCTGTAGTTTCCAATGCTGGATCTGTGGTTTCCATTGCTGGATCTGAGGTCTCCAAGGATCAAGTTGAGCTCTTGATACCATGTAAGATACAAGAGACTTCAGAAAGTGAGAGAGAAGACAAAACGAAATAAACTTCTTTTGTATTATATTTCAGAAACTCAATCGTATGTTACATTTGTGACACAGTGTTCTATTTATAGTGTTCTATTTATAGTCTTCACATTTACAACAGAAGATAGTTAGAGTTTGTTAGTATTTGTGGGCCTTGATGTATTGGGCTTTCCTAGAGATGCAATTGGGGGAAAACTAAGGAAAAGGAAGGAAATGATAATGGTCAAATTTCTAGGTAGGGTTAAGATTGTGTTTCATAAGAAGAGTGGAAACTTGATGAGACAAATTATAACATCGTAGAAATTCATCAAATAATTTATGAGACCTGGGAAAACTTAAATAATCACGGATCGGTGCTTTCCATATCTTATATGTTCATATGCAACCAATGAAAAATCATTTCATCACATTGTTTCACTATACGACAACGACAAAGTCAGATCATATGCATTGTGCCAAACAGAAAAAGAGCTTGCACTTAAATTTTTCTAAAAATTATTTTAAGCATGGGAACTTCAAAAAAAAAAAAACTATGAAACCGGGCTTTCCATATATACATGGAATGATCACATGTAATTGACATATAGTTGTTTTTTTTTTTTTTTTTTTTTGATAACAACATATAGTTGTTTCGTTACACCATTTAATCACACAACAACAAAGTAGGCTTTAGCATATTCAGTCAAATCAGAAGACACTGCCCACTACAGAATTTATCTAAAAATCTTTAGATCATTAAAAATGCAAAACACCAATGGAATAATGCTCCTAACACACAATGGAATCATCCAAAACTTGCGGTAGATTCATACCACACATAACCATGCTTTACGATAAAATTTAAAGTAGTCTGTAACACTTTACAACACCAAGTTTTATAACAGTGGCATATTTACAAATATGTAGGATTCACTAACATAATAAGACACATGCAAGGCAACCATTCGGACTTTCCATATACAATTCGCATACAATTTAGGACAGAGAAATACATACTATAGTTGAACCTAGAAGAGTGAAAATCATTAAGGATTGTTAGAATAATAATATAAATCATTAAAAAGGCCCTCACCCAACACCTTAAGGCCCCCACTTTAAAGTGAAATTAAAAATAAAAAGCACAAAAGGTAAACCAAAAATTGGGTCTGTGCAATATCCACGCTTCTAGCCCAAAAGGCTCTTGCGTGAGGGGATGTGTTAAAAGAATAATATAAATCATTAAAAAGACTCTCACCCAACACCTTAAGGTTTTGGGTTGAAGTGGTTCTTTACAAGGATTGTTAAGCTTACCTTATCATGTACGAGTTTTAGCTAGTATTCTACAGTTAGAGCTTTGCCTCCTTCCTTAAAAGAGGGTGGTAGAGAGGAACTCGAGTGATGTTCAGCCAATTAG